GTGCAAATAGTCGTCGTCGGTCCCGTGCAAAGCAGGAGTTCGGACTTGGGACTTGGAACACATCGCCAGAGCTAAGGGGAGGCAGTTAACATAAAATATATTGTAGTAGTATTCGGCCACCTCGGCGAATAACCGTGCAGCAAAAAATGACACACAACACGGTCGACCAAAAGTGGAACGCGCGCGCCCCGAGCAACGTCTTGCAAGTAATTTTTCAATTGTGTCGTCGCCATGACGACGGGGTTGTATCTGGTCTGTCACCGACCTCGGGTAAAAATATTCGGGTTGCGACCACCGTCAGCCACTTGATGATATTTCACGCGGTGTGCATTATATACACGGCGTATACATGTATACGTCATCGTTCTACAAAATAAAATACAACGAACCGCGCCGTTATGAAATATTTAGCCGGCAACAACTTTACAGAAGGATTGTAATGTGTAATTTTTCCGCATCGCAATAATAATAAAAGAAAGAAAAAAAAAAAAAATTCCACACTTTATTGCCGTTTTCCAGACGCGGGTTTCACTCTGTTTTTTTGAAATTATTTTCAATATTCATCTCCGACGGGTCTTTTAGCAAAAGGCGACTTGCATACCGAGTACTATTATTATTAATTGTAAATACCGCGAGTAAACCAATTTATTAATACACATGAATAAGAGTTGCGTAGGGTGGAACTGCGACTTAATTATGGGGCAATTGCTAATTTTTCAAAGTAATAATCATTAGTTTTAAATTGTATGCTTTTAACCCCTTGTGTTATAACGGTAAATCATTTTTTTAATGAGTATTTATAAGTAAAAATTACAATTATCGAGCTTATTTTGTGTTTATAGTTTTTAAGTTTTTTTTATTTAACGATACAAAAAACTTATTTTAATGTTCAAGTAAATGTATTATATTTTATGCTTGCATAGAAATATCGAGTTCTATATTATTATAATATTATTCTTGTTAAAGCTATTCATTTATTAACATAATATTATTGCACGAAAAAACATGTGTATACATATATATGTTGTTTTTTATTATTTTATCGGTGTCTGTTAGCCGACTGAGTACATAAACTCAATTTAAGGAAGTAAAAAAAATATGAATAGAAAATAAAAAAGTAAAAAAATATGCGTAAAAATAAACAAAGAACATATTATGCAAAACATAATTTTGAATTTTGATTCTTTATGATGTAAATTCAAATGTGTTCCTTACCTAGCTATATTATGGATCACTCGGTAAAAACATGCAAATGCATGAACTCTCTTTGGCCCTTGTTATTAGTGTCTAAGGATCCTTAATCCGTTTTCTGATAACGTTAACGGTTAATCCGTTGTTGGCTATTGGTATATTATATGTTTTATTATATATTATGGCCCCCGTCTGTTATATAAACTCTCGTCGAATTACTAGGTATACCTATATACCTGTATACGTATTTACCGTGTAATAATATATAAAGCAACAGTTAACGTAATTGCACTATTGTTGTTACTTGTAAATTGATCTATCTATCATCATCATTAAAATAGTATTACAGACAACCTGCGCGATTTTCAGTGAGTTTATTTTGTCGACGACCGACCCAATCGATTTTTTAACGCGTTAGACATTTTTTTTTTTTTAATTGAAACCGTCAAGTGTTTCTTCGGTATACATATACACAACCACTGCGATTATCATAATTATTATTGTAACAGTCTGGTGGCCTTAATTAATATCCTAGCCGAGAAAACGGAGGCGACCGCGAGGTCTTTGTCGCGTTAAAGGATTTGTTTTTTTTTTTTTTGGGATTTTCCAACGAGCAATTAACGATTCGGCACGTGCTTTCTCCTCGTGGTTATTATTATTATTTTTTTATTACTATTATTATATTTTAGTTTGTGTGATTGCTTTTTTTTTGCACTGACCTAATGGCAACGGACAGACCGAGAGAAAACATTATTGATCATCATCAGCGCATCATATCGTTCTTAGAAATCGGTATATCGGCCAGTGTACATGTGACTTTTGTCTCGGACCCAAAGTCCACGGGACGCGTTGAAAATAGTTTTTTGCGTCTCGACACCTTGCATCGCCGAGCCTTTGATGTATTATAACTAAAATAGACTTATGTATTATCTCAAACATGCTACCGCGGTTCAGCTACTCTTTAACGCATAATAATAAATAATACAATTAGCCTTTGAGCGTTAACCCCTCGTCTCCTCGGTAGCCGATGTTTAAACACGCGTAATTATAATAATATATTACTTCTTTTATACGCCGATCGGTATTATAACTAGTTATAATAATTATGCTATTAACGATTGGAGAGTAAACGGATAAAAAAAATATAAAATCTTACAGCGAAATGACCGGTTATAATAGTTATCGATTAAACGGAAGCAGCCGCGGAAGCCGTTTGTGGAAAACCACCTACTTTCAACATTAAGTGTTGCGCAATGCATATAATCGGTTCAGACAAAATGAATAAAGTGACGCGACGCCTCGGTCGAGATTGACACATTATATAAGGCAAAGAGTCATTCAAAGGGTCACAGAGGCGTGTACAGGATCAAAATTCAGAACAGGCCCAGTTATAAGAAAAACATATGTGTACACATTTGTTTTAAGGGAATTTTTAATACATTTTTTAAAATGTACAGTCAATCATAGTATTAGTAACTAATAATATTTAAATATAATAATAATTGTAATATTTATTTAGGAAATTGAATCTTTCCGTTTTTCATTTTGGTGAACTCGTCGATTACGTTTGTAGGATCTTGCAATAACGCTAAATTTTGAAGACGCGTAATAGTCATCGGTAGATGTCCATAAATATGTCTTGATTTTTGTCATCATCGAAAAACTTCTTTCGGCTGATGCCGAACTTACTGGTATAATCAACACGCGTTCAATAACCAATTTAATTTCCTCAAATGACTTTCCCGTATCGCATATTTCTTTGTAAAAATTCATAATATTTTTACAGCTACTAATGCTACAGTGGATATTTTTCGATAATCGGCATTGACTCATTACTTTATTCGAGAAACATTCATCATCTTCGTAATAATATGTGCACTTTTAAAACAAAATTATCATTTGAAAAATTTTACACGACAACGAGACGTCGTATTATTATTATTATCACTTTGGAAATATCTTGTATACATTTATTTTTTATTATCATATAAATTATATTATGGTTGTTGACGGTCCATAATAGTTGAGGATCGCCGATTAATTTTACGTTTATTAATTTTAGTTAAAGATAGATTATTATTTTACACGGCCATACGGGTACCTACGTGGCATGTGAATTATTGCAAACACAATTTATTTACTAATCGATTTTTGACTGACTACCAAAACATTATATAGGATCACTTAATATGATCATTTTTTATTTAAAGAACAATTTAAAAACAGAAGCGAGGTGAGAATTAAGTTCAAGCCAGGAAGTCACACTTTGTTCGCCACTCGACAATACTTGAAATACCATTTCTTTTGACAACCCCTTCTTCACCTCCGACTTTGAAAACCAAGTGATTTGCTGTGTACAGTGAGCTTGGTGTGTTTATATAAATAACATGAAATAAAGCGTCGTTTACAAAAATTTTAACCTACCAAAAGAAAAGTTTAAACAACAGTTGATACAACACGTTCGGTTAGACGACTATCAGGCCACATGATACGATCCTGGTCGAGTGGAAACATTTTCATTTCCTTTCCGGCCACTTAGGTCTAGTTACAGAAATATATTTTTTTAAATGTGGATTTTGTTTAAAATAAAAAGCCGATAGATGTTATCATTTTAAGACATACTGTATACTTTTCCACCAGGAAATGCCTTCGATCTCCAGTAGTTATTTGTGCTTTTAATTATTATAATAAAACCGCCATTGGCATTGTATAGTTAGTAGAACTGGAACGGGATCTATTCTCTTTCTGCTCGACCTTAGCCGCCCTTAGGCAGCGCACGCCTTGTGATTTGCATGGACAAAAACGCACACGGCAGCCCGTTTATTATATACAGATTATATTAAATAGCAAGCCTCGATTATTGTTCAACGTGTATAGTAGGACGAGCCTAGAGCATTGGCACTTAAACGTAAGACCTAAAAAAAAGCTCTTCGGACCCGTGTCCAAAGTTATCGAACGCACACACATATTATATTGTTATCTGATTTACCTATATTTGTGCTTCCGGCGCACAACACACACACACACACTATGGCCTCTTTAATTATTTCAAAACAATAACTATAATGGACCCGAAACAATATTATATGCGAACCGTCTTTTTCTGTCCTGTGTAGATTAATTAATTGGTCTCCGCGTTGAACTGAAAAAGTAGGACAACCATGGCCAACCTACTTGTTAGAGGGTGTTACGCACAACTTGGGGGGTAGGTACAAGCTGCGGGTTTATGTACTTATAAATGTTGCTGTGCGTTTGTTTCGGTCGCCGTGTTGTTTGTGTAAAATCAAAATAACGCATACCGTTATGATATCATAGACCAGTTATGGTCGGCCTGGAGAGGCAAGTGAAAGTTTCTCGTTCACTTTCACTGGAGGACCGCGGTCGACGAATGCAAACGGTACACGCGGCGTACATATAGCTGAAAAACAGCTGTAACAGTAATAGTAGTAGGCGGTGTCTGGTTTTTCGCTTTCTGTGCGGTGCAGTCATACCTGTACGTTTTGTACACCAGTGTTTCTCGAACGGAGAAAGTACCGTTATTCGATTTTCCACGTTAAGTTTATTTTTACAAAGCGGTTTTTTTTATATTTTATTCGGTCCGCACGCGTCATTACATACGGAACGTTTGTTTTTTTTTTTTTTGTTTTTTCCTGCACCTACTACCGCCCTAGCTACTCGCCGTCTTGCCAAAACGACATTTTATTTATTTTCTTAGTAGGTACCTACTACACGTGTGATTATTTTCAAAAATAATTTGTTTTTCCACACACACACAGATTCCATTTTGACGAACACCGTTATAGGCGACGTTTTAGAATATTTAAATATAATAATATATATTATACTGAATTTTGATTTACATTTCACGATAACACAATATGCATTATTACTTATATGTATTATCATAATGTTGTTGCAAGTTTATAACCCGACGTCGTATGCGACCACCGCAGACTACGCGTTATCGGTCAGGCACAGCTTGTCGTTCAAACCGTAACGATTGCATTTGGTGACCAAAACGATTTGCTCCCCTCTTATCATGAGTTTGGGCACATTTCTCCGGCACACCTGTCGCCCTTTGATCCGTCTGACGACCGTGTGAGTCGGTGGCTGGTCTTCCAACTCCACCATGTCGCCTGCAAAAAAAAAAATATAAAATAAATCACTCTTTATACATTTTTTTTATTCGGATGTAGTGTTGAAAAAATACAAGCCCCCCCCCCACTTCACCCCGCGTGCCCAATTAAGGTCACCGAGATCGCACATAGATGATGTGAACTGCATGCAATTAAAATGAAATTGTCTAGCCAAACACACGATAATACACACTGTCAAGGTATTCGCCTGGAAGGTTGACTTATGACCGTCAACCGGTGCCGACGACGTCCACGCGCATTGATTGCAAACATGTATAGTTTATATTATATTTGATTTTTATCTTAATAATAATAAAATCATTATTAATCATAATATTTTATTATGCGGTTGGCGCTCGGGGGGTCGAATTTAAGTTGTACATATAAATCATAATATATCAATATTATTATATTTATTGACGAATAATGAACGCAAATAAAAAATACCGAACAGAACTAAATTGACATTCAAAATATAACACTCGCGTTCAAGGAAAAATAAGATAATATTATATTATATTTTGGCCTGATCCATCGACTATAACAACCTACCAAAGTCATTACACAACAGAATAATTATAAAGCATTAGCCATTTACAATATCTTCCACTATTTTTTTGTTTTGAGTTTTAAAGACAATGATGTATACCAAAAAATTATACGTATGTGTTTATATATTATCAAAATCACGTTTGGACGTACGACAACAAAAATAATTAAATCCTTAAATCCAGTTTTGAGCGATTAGATGTCGATAAAACCACCGGTTGTTTTTTTATTACAATTAATTTTTTTTCAGTTTGACTACTCCTAGCAAGATGTTTTGAAAATAAACCAGCAAGGCAAAGGACACCTGTCTGTAAGACTCGATTTTTGCATTTCCATTAAAACAGTATCAGTCGGTGCCACTTGAAACCGAACTACCTACAGTTTTAACGTCAATGCGGTTAGATACGGCCAAAACGAAAAACGATATAGATATTACTAAAACAAGTAATTTGATTGCATTTAGTAGGATCCTAATTAGTGTTCTTAGCCTCCTAACCGCATGCGCTCATTAAAAAATCTATAAAACCTCTTGTCGCAATATTTTTGTTTTGGCTGTAATGAAAACCGGAAAAAGTGCAACATCCCGATAGGTTCTTAAAGTATCCGCATGTTGTTTATTATTAAATTTGTTTTTTTTTTTTGTTTGTTTCCGATTGACTCGATTAACATATTTATACACAAACACATCTCAAATGATATTGGAACCGACGATTGGCGCAGTGTGCGCGTGACTGGAACAACACTGTATACCGGAAACACAATAATATGCGCTACCTTGTAAAAAATAATTAATAAAAGCGATAGGTCTGCGAGTAGTCAATGTTAACGACGTGTCGCGCTACCGACCAACAGGTTTACCGGTCTCGGGGTGGGCAGCCTTCAAGTTCAATAGCACAAATCGAACGTCGTGTAGATAAAAAAAAAAAAAAACTGCGCTGTTTATATTTAATGTTCACAAAAAAAAAAGAATCGTTTCATTAACAAAAACCGTGGGGACGCGGATCTCGCGGTTAGGGAAAAATGTTTACCCGCAATATACACAAGACGACCCTGTTTGATGTGCGTTTTTAAAATGTTTTATATACACATTAAGACTTGTATTTTGGTAAAAATCTTTATTATTTTTTTTTTTTTGGGGGGGGGGGGAGGAACATCCCACAAGCGGTTCATGTTATATTTATTTATTTTTTAAATTTATATATAGCGTTGTCACAGTATTCGTTTGCCGAAGCGTTTTCTTGGAAACGTCGACGTGTATTCTGTGTTTGGGAAATAACTGGAAAAACAAGAAATCGCACAAACAACATTTGCCCTCGAATTTAGGCAATGCAAACAATCTGTTATTCGAAAGGGATTAATAAATAACTTCTCTCGAGTAAACTTTTGCGGGCGCGCCGAGCAAAATTAGGTTTAATATCATATTTTGCGCGTCCCAAAAACAATAATAATAATAATAATAATAACGATATTCAAAGATAATTGATTTGCTGTGTAAAAGCTGCGACATTTTGTGGCCAAGCGTTTTAATTAAACAATGTCTTGTTGTTAGTAGACACCAACGGCGGAGGTTACACGGCCGACAACTCAATTGAAATTCACAAAGTAAAATGACGTATAGCAAGACCAAGCAACAACGAGTATAATAATACTATTATATACACTTAATAAATAATGCATTGTTTTGGCTGATTGTATAAATTGCCTATGGGTAATAATGGCAATCGGTGTACACGGTAAAATCGATGTAGGTTACGTTAAATGTTAGCGATATTTCTTTACAAGTGTTTAGGTATATGACCCAATGAGTTTAATATTGGGAATCATATTTGTATAAAAAAACATAAATGATAACTCATAATATGCTCTTATCATGTTGTGTCTTGTAAGAAATAATAATATACTTTTAAATTATATATTACCTATTTATACTTTTAATGGCCGTTCGCATCAGCCTAGCTTAATAATTATGTATAGTATAACAATACTAAATTTATAGACTCATTAACAGCCACGAAACAATAAAAATACAGTCTTCTAAATGGTATAAACTTGTAAAAAATAAAAATATAATCAGTTAAGTATATATTATATAATTAATATTCAGAACTATTATAGTAATAATGCACCATTATCAACATATAAAATTGACATAAGTGACTAGATTTCAAAGATTCAAAACAGTATTAAAATTTGGATTTTAAACGCATCGTTTAAATTAATTTTGTAAACAAACATTTATGGGTGTCGTATAATTTCTAAAATTAAGTAAAAATACATGTCTTAAAATTAAATAAGAATATAATTTAGATCTATCATAATTATAATAAGTAATTTTAAAAAAAAAAAAAGCAATCCATTTTTGTTACACATATTATTAAGCTTACCAATCGCCATTGATTTGTATTTATTTTTCCTCGTCCATACTTCCACTACGTCTTCCATGACTAGATTCCAATGTTTATCGAAAGCAATTATGAACCCTTCGCAGTACCCTCGGATAGATGCTGCCGATCGGGTATACACCTTGGCTCTTTGCTTTCGGTAGCAGAAGTTTGCAATGCGAGCCAGCGGTCCTTGAGACTTGTTAATTTCCGACATGCGTACCAGTATGTTGCGTCGAGGTTTCATTTTTCGTTGGACCAGAGAGAGTTGCGAACTTCCAGCAACTACAAACATATCACAATAACTTCTAATTCAAAGCCGACAGTTTTTTAAATTGTTTTATCTCACTGTTACTAAGATCTCGTTCAATGGGTTCGTCCACGTCGTATTCATTTTGTCTCTAGAACAATGGCTTTAATTCAAAACTACTCTGCGAGCACATTTTATTAATGTAGTGTCATAGGTGGAACATTACTCTAGATCTCTGTGGCTTGATTTCAACTTCTCCCGAAGGCGTCAATTCGAACTTAGATAAGTTGTCCAACGCTTGAGCCGATGCACTTGGTGTCTTCACGTTGCTGGCGTATAACGCTTTGATCGGATTGAAAGCCGGAGACAACATGTCCAACTCATCATCGTCGTTACTCGACGACATTGTCTACAGATTTGCTAAAAAAAAAAACAATTATTTGCCGTGAAATAAATACAGTTGTTAACAATGTATATAATATAATAATTAAATAACACTCGAGTACACGTGTTATCATTGTAAAACTCACCGTTTGTAGTTACACCGCAACGTGGGTTTCGGCATTTACTCGTTACTGTTAAACTGCAGAAAGACAAATAACAGTTAGAAGACTTTTCGCCGAATTCATATTTTAGAAACTAACAGCAACACACATTTTTCTTTTTTTGTTATCACGAAACGTCGTTGTTATTGAAATGCATATTGTAAACAATGATAACCCGGAACACCTGTGGCCTAACCTAACCTTAAAATAATTCAATTTGGTGTTGGCGTTTGACAGCGAGATCTGTGCGACACGGTCCGTACCATTCTACCGCCACAACCATCCGTTAGAGGACGTCCGAATAATGTTGTTTGACTAATTTTCGGTGTTATTTTCTGCTTTCAGGTGAAAAATAATATTATGTATTCCAAAGAAAAATGGAAACACATGTCGATTCACAGACAATGAAGATTACAAACGGAGCGTCATTAAATGTATGTAAACAAAGTATTGCGTTCGACTAACACTTATTCGTGAACAAAAAATAAGTATAAACAATATTGACAAATAAATGATATTTTGAAAACTCAAAACCGTTAAGTGCAACAGAAGTGTTCCATTTGTACGGATAAAAAAATAATAATAGATAGTATTATATAAGGTAACTGTTTTTAAAGTTTTGATGTTCTTTATGGTTCACGGTAGTGTAAAAATATTACATTTTTACACTACCGTAACCTATTAACGCCTGGTGGCCCTTTTTGACTGAAAAATTTTTAGAAAAGTAAAAAAAAAATTGTTTTAAACCAAACAAAAAAAAAAATAGTTACGAGCGTTAATAGGTTAATAAAACTACTAATTTAATACAGTGCCAGAATTAAAAAAAAAAAAACATTGGATGAAGGAAACAAAATCAAAATGTGGGAAATTAATAAAAAAACAAATTGTCAAAGCAATATGTTTATTGTTGAACGTTGTGCAGTGATCAATAAGTGTCACCTCACCGGACCACAGCTGTCAAAATTAGAATAGTATTGAAGTAACTTTGTAAAGAGAAACACTAAAAATTGTAGACTACAAACGATTATTGAAAAAAAAATTGTAAACAGTTTTTTCAAACACTTGATAATCTTAAAACTTTTAAAATTTTAAATTGAGAAAAACATCAATGTTAAGTAGGTATGTTAATAGCGCCAAACGGATTTAGTTTGAATCTTCTGAACGTTTAATATGTGCCAAATATATGGTTTTTTACAGATGTGCCGATTTTTATTTTTTAATTACACACGCACAAAAGATTAAATTAAATGTATTCCTACCTGCTGAATTAATGAGGTTTAGCAAATAGTATGCCATTTTTTAAACCTTAACGACACGCGTTACAAACGTGGGAAAATAATAATAAATAATTGTTAATGTAAATCTATGTAAATTTCGATACTAGTTTTTTTATTACTAAAACTACCTACCTATCTACTTTCTACTCAAAACTAAATGTCAAAAAAAAAAATGGATGTCGATAACACGTAATTGATATTTAACAGATATTATGCCTTCAATGTAATAATATTATTATAGCCGTTATAACCTTTCTTCCATAATATTTATTATTATATTATCCGCCTGCTTAAATGTTATACACCCAAGTTTTGCCGGAAACTTTCTTCATAAACGACGGACCCACACACAATCGCAATTATTAACAAACCGTGATGTCTATAGAAAAAACAATATCGTACCTCATTAATACTTTGAATAATAATAATTATTATTGTAATATATTCGTCTGCGTCAATAAAATTATCTCAAACGACAAGTTTTTTTTATTATAAACAAGCAAAAAATAAATCTTTATATGTTAGGTATATTTGCGTTTTCTTTTTTAACTTTTAACACCATAATTTTACCTTGTTGAAATTTAGAAGAAATAAAAAATGCAAATTATTTTACCAACCCTAAACTCAGGCAAACGGCTAATGTGAAGATATTGAACAAACTGCGACGTTGTGCTTATAATTTTATATTTGAAGTGTTATTTGTATTATTATGATTTATTATCATTGTTGATGAAACAATAACGGTAAACACGGTATCGAGGTACCGAAAACAATTTACGTTTATGATTTTGACAACAGAAAAAAAATAATAAATATTCTCCCAAGCCGTTTGTTTTTATTCGCTAAAAATTCAAGGAAGTGTCTGCACATTTTTAATATACATTTGGCGCAGCCGTCTAACCAAAACTCGGCATGAAATGATAGATAAGGTAGGGGGTTGATTATTAAACTTACCTACCTAGCCTACTTAGCCGAACTTGCCTGATAGGGTTTTTTCGTGTACAATAAAATAATATATAACATGTACAGTGCACAATAAATATTGGATTGGACAAAAAAATAATAACAATTTTGTTAATGGTGCAACTGTGCAGTAGGTACATACATAATATTATTATAGTGTAGGTTGTATACCTACACTCGACTTCAAGTGCATTCAATTTTTTTTTATGACCTATTTATTTTCGCGTTAAGTACATAAATCCGAAAATATGAATTTTTACTATCGAGCTATTGTGTTAAATAAAAAAAAAATAACTTTCTCAATAGCAACATGACATAAATCATACTTGTGTTTTTCGTAGGTTTTGATTTTGTTTACATAAATATGTAAGAATAAGAGTATGGATCATGAGAGCAAGTGTTACGTGTAAACGTAAATGTAGTAAAATATAAACACTGTTGTTGTGAAGTTATACTCCAAGTAATGAACCTTATAAATTAAAAAAAAAAAAAAACCTAAAATAAATTTAATTACAATTTTACAATATAACTAGAAGTGTAATTTAAATTCGAAAAAATTAATTTTCCTAACAACGAATAAAATAAAACATTTAAAATTGTTTTTTTTCAATAAAATATATCAATAATATAATCATCGCTTATATCGTACAGGTAATTGAAAATGTATGAATTAAGGAAAACATAAATATTGATTTTTGAGTATACCTTACAAGTAGTTAGCATAAACGAAAGAAAGGCTAAGTACAATGTGGCTTTGTATAATATTTGACCAATTACTGCACTGTGGCAAATCCGGTTGCTTTCAGTTAATATAATCCTTAAGGCGTAGGACTCTATTCTCGTCGGCGGCTAAGTACCACTGCCCTGGTTAATAATTAAATTGTCTAAACTTTTGGTAAAACTTCTCGGCCAACGCCAATGGTGATCGAATTTTACAATTCAGTAGTCTTGGAAACGTTTTGCAAGTTTTGCAAGAACGTTGTTAAATTGTGCTATTTTTCCGGGTCGTTTAACCTAACCGTTAAAGACAGCTGCGTTTTATGTGTACAATAAAACTTATTGTGTTAAGTTATCTCGTACATATTGTTCGACGCTCTGCATAATACATTTATTTAGCGAACCTGAGAAGACATTGTAATACTTAATATCGGTTTATCGTCGTGCACAAGTACGGGGTGACACTAATTTTCTAGGAAAATAAAAATACTATTTTGTAGATTTTCTTTTTGGACCTTGTTTAATTTTTTCATGTTATTGTACGATATTATAAATAAAAATATTTAAAAAAATAAAACAACTACAACATGTGTTCATACATGCTTCTAACGAGCCCACAATTATTATTTGGTACACTTGTAGTTGTTTGTGCCCCCAGGCCCCACGGCAAAAAATTATCTAATCCTCCGACTATTATTGTTGTTATTATTCAGTTGGTACCTATGACGCGGTAATGATCTTTATTGTGTGTGTGTGTGTGTAGGTATGTGTTTGCGTTGCTTCATCAGCGATAAACTTGACATTGGCAGTGTAAACTTTGAAATTATTATTATGCGCGCCGAGTGGGATAATCAAATGCACGTCGTTGCACATTTAATTGTATTTGGTTGTGCAACGCGCGCCGATTAGCCGGCAAAGCGAAGACCTTGATTTGGTATTCAATTTTTTATTCAATTAATAAAAAAACAACAACAAAAAAAAAAACCCCATTTAAGAGCGGCGACCTTGTAGTACTGCAAAGCCTTTTTAAACGCGAGTACGCCAAAGCTCTTTTTTTGAGCTCAATTTTATTTTTCTATCCGGTTTTCCTGTAGGCTACACTGTACATACATATTATATTGTCGTTGCTCGTTATTGCCGGGCAACGCAACCCGCAACATAATAATACGTATGAGATAACAGGAATGTAATGTTATATAAGACAATAATTGATACTGAAAATCAAGAACAATATTTTCGCCAATTCCATCGTCCGACACACGATTTTGCCATTGTCTCCGCCGTTAATCTTCAAACTAAATGTAAATAAAGTGATATCATTCTACTCGTTTCGCTTACACCAAGATACATCCTTTTGCAATCATATTGTACACATTAACTGTTGCTGCGGCATACCATTCGGATTTTTAATATAATATGGCGATACAACGAACCGATTAGCTTGTTGGATTTGATCACAACATGCGCATTTTGTAATGTTACTCGCTTTATCATCTAAAATATTATCTACATCTATCGTGACCCTGAAGCTATGGTGATATGTATAATACACTGCGGATAAACGCAATGTCGGTCGATTAGATGTAATAAATATTTCAGTATTTACGAAATCATGCTTGTTATATGTGAACACCCGGGAAACGGCCCACAGGAGTGTATCAGAAATATTATAAAGAAAAACAATAATACATAATATGTACCTAATATTGCAATATAGTGCAAGTCTAAAATCTGAACCTGTTGTTTTTAACAATAAATTTACCTTACTCGCTAACCGGCCATGATGTGTTGGATGCATCGTTTCGCTTGGTATTTTTTTTTTCACGTTATTTTTTATTTTTTGCTTACCTGAAAAAATTTACCGTTCAAACTCGAAGTGTAACATTTTCGCATAATTTCTCTGTGCGTTTTCCCCTTCACTGTTAATTTAAAATTTTTTTTTTTTTTTGCGTCTGACGTTGAGGTTGAGTCCAAACGGTAATTGTCCGAGGTCGAGTAATTATTCGAAAGCAGCAACGTCCTATTAGTTTTTTTAGTCACTATTATTCATATTATTGTTGTTGCAAGACAGCGGTTGATTATTATTTATTATACATTAGAAATACAATTTTTCGCTGCCCGTTGCGAATTTGGCGTCGGCTTGGCAGCTTTAACATGATTGATATTGTTAACGCGCAGGTATAACAAAGTGACACTATATACAGTGATCGTACCCGTTGAAGTATCGTCTTGAACTAAGAACAATAATAGTTATCATTGCTCTTAAGTCGATTTGCCCACAGTCCGCCGTCGCGTGTACAGTCATACTTATAGTGTTTACATTCACCTTCATAGCCTTATCGTTGGTCCAGAACTGTCGGTTTTATAATTAAATGTTGTCCGGGTATTATTTCGGTTTGTGTTATCTCGGAAACAAAAATAGTGCATTCCGAGATGAATCACATGCACTTGCATTATTATCGTTCCAGGCGATCACGAGATAAGATGCTAGCTAAGGTCGGTGATGTTTTCGTCGAGGCCAAGGTTCCCGCACAGCTAATAACGATAATTATGCGGTTTAATAGGGTTATTTTTTTTACGTTTTGTTGGATTTTTTTTCGGTCGCCTTGATAAAAAAATTTAATACAGATCGAACCGATGCGTATGCGTGTGTCGTCGATAGCAGTAACGCAAATATTATATTATTTCAGACGGGTAGTTATGACCGCAAACGGATGTCTGTCTTTTGACAGTGATTTAATAACCCTGGTGGTAATTATAATATTATACAGAACGGTACGTCATAAAATATATTGTAGGCATACGGATTGAACTTGTCGAGGTCAGCGGCTGTGCGAGTAGCTTAAAGTGCCAATACATATAGGTACGCAACGCGTTTGGAATCGAACTGGCTGTATTTTTAGCGTTATTTTTTATGGTAATAACAATAATTATTATTGTTGTCCAAGGCCGACTTCAACAGCCTAGCAAACAAATAAATAAACAACAAGAGCGTGGTATTTAACAAATAACTCTCCCAGCGTATGTGTGTGTGTTCACTGTTCCTAAAACAAAGTATACAGTGTAGTTACATTGTCGCTAATTTTTACCTACGTCAACGCATGACGGTATACATTGCTTGGATACCACTTAACTCTTTAATAATAATAATAATAATATTATTATGATGATGTATGATAACTGTTCTTGGTAATAATTACGCGCCCGCACCCGTGGCCGTGAAGGGGATAATAGCTTGCCATTTCAAAAATTGTTACTGGAACACCTTTTACAGGCAACATACATGAAGCATACCATAATTTTCAATAACAATTATAGTACTTATCGCAAGAACTCGAATATCGAATATAGTTTGTTTGTTTTGTAATTAAAAAACTAAAAATACATTAAAAGTACATTTTATATTTATCGGTAGAAGATAGTGATATAAAATATAATATAATGCTCGTCTATCGTTATCGTTAAATTTTCTATTGTAACACAATAAGTAGGCACTTTAAAGATTGCTGTTTAGGCAATTCACACTATAATTATTACGCTATTCGGTTTATAATATGATTAAAGTCATTATAATATAATGACATTCGGACACAATTTCATCAAAGGCTTTTTCTTAACTCAAACGTCACATCTTGTTCTTTCGCTAGTCAATCGTTTTATTTATCAGCGTCGTTATGTCGAGTGCACTTGTGCACTTCTTTGGAATTGTCAGATTTTCTTTGGCCTTCAAATAAAATACATTGACAGTAGCACTTTAATAATACAATCTTGCACAACTCCTTGGTTGGTTATAAAGTTAATCCAAAATCAAAGAAACTTCCCATCGATAACAACCAAAAAGAAAATGTCAGTCGGTTATTGTTGTCGTGTGTATTTCCATCGAGTATGGCTTTTCATTTTTTTTTTTTTTATAGGATTATTATTATTTCCTGTTATTATTCATCAACATTGGAGTACATATTATAGTAAACTGTAAAATATATGGTACAAGTGTCGACTCACGAATATAGAAAACGTTTAATACACTCGTTACGTGACAACAAAACGATAATAATAACCGTCTTACGATACCAGACTGTTTTGAAATGTGCTTACTACATACTGTTATATCATTATCAAGTACACATCACATATTTTGTATTTCAAGCAGTATGTAAGACTTTTCGTTTGAGCTTTTCGATGCGGAATTCATTATACAACGTTGTGCTATTTTTATTTTAAAACGAAATCCTTTAAATGAAAGTTACCGGTCTGTGAAGTAATTAATTATTATATCTTTGAGATCAATTTTCATCGAGTCGTATTGCCCCCTCCCCTTTCTCCACCCAATCAGTTTATAATATAAAACGTCCCTTTGAAGTCTGACAGGCGACAACGGGCGTTATTCCACTTTATCTAAACGAAATAACTGTTGTACTTATTACCATTGAACTCGGGACGCCATTTTCTTATTATTTTTAATCAAAGTCTTTATTTAATAATCACAATAAAAGCAGTCACTCGAAAAATGCATTTAGAACGTTGTCGGAAATTAACTTGACAATAAATGGAAAGCGTTCAGACTTCAGATTCCATTTTATATTTCCATACAAAATATTCAAATATTATTTTTAATATTACAATACCTCATGTTTTCATGTTGTAAAAAAACTTTGAGTATATTTGTAAGTTTTTTATTTTCCGAACTTATGTAAAGAGTATAGTTATATCAAATTAAAAATACAATTTTAACATAATCATACACACTAATAATGTATTTTATTTAAAAAATAGATGAAAATTATTATCATAATTACTTTATTTAATATAATTCCTTTCTGTTGCAAATTATTTATGTAATTAAGTTAGAATTATGCACAAAACTTTTTCATTACATATCTACTTAAAATGTATTATTCATGAAGTAAGACCATTTTTAACACGCTTATATTATTTTATATTTACTCTAGTAAATAATTGTGTTAAATACGGTTCGTACCCAAAATAAACGAATTTGATGATAACTCGTGGTTATTTTCCTAGAGTGTGATATCAGTGTGAATAACTCTTTAAATCCGTAATATACGCTGGTTGTTATAAAAATGTTTTTTGGTGCAATTAAACATAAAAAGCATGCATAATTCGCTTTGTGTTGTAAATGTATTCCTAGCCTCGATGAACCCAATCTAAAATTTGAAAATGTGTAATGCTTTTTATGAATGCCATATATATAATATACTTAACGAACGTGGCATGGCATATAACGGCAAAAATTGCAGTTTTTGAAAAAACATTGTGCGCGATGCACGCAATATTGTATAAAACAGCTATTAGGTTTTAATATTCGACTTGTCGTAAAAATTAACTCGTTACACTTGTGCAGTTTTCATTGGACGCTTTTTTACATTTTTTTTTTTTGTTATCCTCACAGACATTTAAACCGCCTGGATCCGGGACAAGTTCACCGTCATACTGGCTTTCGTGAAGCCCGCCCCGCCCGGTCCGCCCCTGTCCACGTCCAGTCTGATCTCGGATCCCCGCCGAACGTCTTCCGCCGTCGGAATGCCTTTCATGGACGACGTGCTCCTCTGGTGTCCAGAGGCCGAGACCAAAATCGAAGACTTCACCGAATGTCTGGTAAGCACACACCACACACACACACACCGCAATGACTTGAACACAAGCAGCGTGTACCTACTTGACTCTGACCATTCCATTTCGGACTTCACCGGATAAGATCCGCGATTCAATGTCTGACCGCTGTTTTTGTCACAGGGCAACGAAGTGTCCGGTCTGGGAGAACTGCTCCAGTCTGACATATCCACCGAACTGGACCGCGCCCTGGACAGTCATGGGCCAGGAGGTCACAACGGCAACGTGGTAGGAACCGGCGGCGGCGACGACGACATCATCAAACAACTGTCCGACTCGTCGGCGTTCCTGGAACAGTTCTTCGATTTCGTCAATTCCGACATTAAGGTGTGACTCGAGTCATTTGAATAGTCGACCTGAACATAATAAAACAGCGAATGTAAAAACATAACCAAGCGGCTACAGTAAATAATAGCCAATTTTCAATTATATACCAATTTATTAAATTCGACCGTCTTGTGTCGCTATAAAGCTTTAACTTTGTTTCATGTTTGTTTTTGGAAAATTAATTTAAAAAAAAAAAAACACATAGGTAGTAAAAATTGTTCAAAAAGACATTATTTATCAACATTTTTAGAGAGTCCTTTAAAATTGTAATTTCGACTTTTAGCTTGTAGCTGTTATCAATTTTTTAAGGTTTTTTTTTATTAAAATCACTTTTATTTAACGGTAGATTTTGGTGTAAGACATATACATACGCCTCGATCTCGGAATGTATAATTTAACGTGTTTGAAGGCAAGATGTGTTGCCTATACAAAACGCCCGATTTTAGAATACTTGAATCGTTAAAAGTATTTTCAACAATTGTTATTTTTTCCCAACAACTTCCCAAGCCACTTGGCTACATCAAACAATACAAGTGCTATCAACACTGGTATTTTTTTGGAAAAGACTATAATTTTATAAAAAGCAAATACATGTCGAATTTAATTGGTTTAGTGGCTGTAATTTTCAAAAAACCCAAATTAATTACAACCCTTAACTTTTTTTTAATCAGAATATTATACAACCTTACAACGCGTTCTATTTATATCTTTAGGCGAATGATAACAAAATATTTCTATTAAGATTTTCACCGATAGTTAACATACTTAGTTTTCCAATTATAATGTAGTCAAAGTTGTAAAGAATTTGAATAAAATAATTTAAATATTTTTTAAGGTCATAGAATATTTTCTTAAACATCTTTGTACGATATATTCAAAATAAAATTTGAAGTACGTTATTTGTGTATAAAATAATAATATTGTTGAATACTTTGAAAAAAATCGAACACGTTATAGTTTTTACTAAAAATTCAAATACTGTCCCTGTTTTTTTTTTTTGTCATAAAAAGTAGATCGCATAAGGAGGGCGTACGCTTGTCTGAATAGTTAAGTGTATTTCTTAACAAGGTAAGAAAAAAGAACAACAAAGTACGAACAGATTAGAATAAAATTTTAAAAAAAACCTCGCGTCAAAGCTTAAAATATTTAAATATGATTTTTGAACTTGCGAAATAAAAAATAATAAATGTTTTTACCAAAGGTATGTACATAAATGTAAATGAAAACAAACGCTCTTACTTTTTAAACTCTGAGATTACCGCCAGTTGTTCATAAATATAATATACGTTGGAAATGCTTTTGAAAAGTGTTCGAGTTCATTACTGAACTACACAAGTGAAAAAAGTAGGTTTATTTAGTAGTTGGCATTTTTTAAATACTAAAAATACGCGAAAAGTATTTTAAAATCCGTTTCGTACATTATTATGAGAAATTCTTTACGACTTCAGCTGACGTTGTAAACATGAACTAATCGACATTTAATTTATTGTGCAGGAGGAGAACAACAACAATGTCGTGACGACCGGCAACAAAAACCACGCGGCCGTTGCTCTGCTACAAGAATTACACCGGACCAACGCCGGAAAGAAGTTTAACATCACTTCGGCCAATCCTTTACTCGCAGGTACATGGCCGCCGTGGACAGAGCAAGAGCTTCTGAATAATTCTTATTGTCGACTTCATTAAAAAATATATATAATATATATATAGTCAATATTGCAGCGCTGGGCATAATTTAAATCGAATTTTTGTTTGCCAATAAAACAACTATTTGCAACAGATAATCTGTTAATTTGACATTTATAGAAAACTCACTATCCCGATTAAATTTTCACGCAAAATAAATACAATTTCAAACATAAATTCACTTTGTCTATATTGAATAATTAAAAATTGTATTTATTATTTATAATTGCATTTTTAATCACTACTTTAGTTTAAAAAAAAAATTTCCGTGTTGGCTTCGATCCAGCTTTTAATTTACACAAATTCTGCATAGCGTTTCGAATGAGCGTTAGACATTTAAGACGAGTTATTTACAATAATTAGACGTTCCGGTAAATTATAAATGGCATAACGCAAATAATTTTGACATACTTTATCAAATAATAATCAATTAAATGTGAGAAATTGTTGATTTATCGCTTCATCTACATAAACAATTATTCGATTTATGTCCAACTCTGCTATGTTGTGTGACCTATTCAGTAAATAAATAAATAATTGCCTTACCTAAACCAATAACAATTTATTTATTAATTTTTAATCTTGAAATGAAATTTAAATGTTGTGAGATTGTGAATTAAAATGATTATTTAACTAAAACAATTAATGTTTTTGCGACATTTTCATAATATAATTTACAAGTAACATAATATTATATTTTGTTGCCTGGGATAGAAAACGGAAAAACATCCATTCCATAGTTAAAAAAAATGTTGTCGATATTTTTGTTAGGTAGACAATAATTTTTTAAAAATTTCTATTGTTTATAGTTTTCTTCAACTTTTGTTTTTACGACAAATAAATGTCGTTTTACCGTAAACATGTACTTAGTTGTTCTTATAAATATGTGTAGCAAATACGACTTGGCATTTTTGGTTTTCCTATTTTCCACCTGTAAAAAGTGTATTCTATATACGTACCTTTTATTGAGTACAACAATAAGACTTCATTGCCGTTAACATTTTTAAGTACTTATCTAACATTCCACTACTAGAATTGACTTAAAAACTTAACTAATTGATTACCATTTTTTAAACTTTTCCAGAAAAACTGTTGAATCCCGTGTCCCAACTGAACCCGAGTCTGAATCAAAACTCAACGGACATGTACATGAATCAAAATAAATACATCAAGACCGAGCCGATGTCAATGAACGATACAGGTAAGCAACATAGGTGAACTTGTTAGCTTTACTTCAGCATGGGCACACGCATAGATGGCGTTAGCGGTTCCGATGACAGTTATCTATTTGCCGGGTAAAACCAACCAAGAAAACACGGAAAATGACTCGAACGCTCGTTCAAACCCAGTTCGACTGACATGCATAAAAATGATTTAATTTTCAGTTGCAGTATAAAAATCAAAATTATGTAGTTAACTGTGTGGTAAAATACAGAATACTTGCCTTAAGCTTTTCCAAGTATAGCTCCAGTAACTCGGATACCTGTACAGCTTTTTAAACAATTTGTATATGTTATATCCCACACAAGTTTGATTTTAAAGTTGGACAAAATATTCACATTTTAAGGGAGTTTTTTATCGATTGTTATTTGGGGAGGGGTAAACTTTTTCCTTTGCTAGCTTTATAACAACACCTTTCGGATGTGATTTCTAATCTATAGAGTTGATAATGATAACGATCCTATATGGAGAAATTGGTCCACTCGTTAAAAATATATATAAATAATATGATGAATCTACAGACAAAAATGAAATAAAAACACATGATAGTAAAAACAATAATATATTCTTAGCTCCGCATCGAATTATTTCAATTGCATTTGAACAAAACAAAAAAATTAAACACAGTTTTTATAAATCTGACTTACAACGAAATGTTGTCAGTGTCAGTTTTAAGTCAGGCAAAACAATGTTTGGTAAAGAAAAAAAAATCGAAAGGAGCGTGTAATACGTTTATAAAAAATAAATTCACCCCTACCGGCCTATAAAATATTATATATATATATATATATATTATCATAATATATTGTAATGTACATGTGCAGAAAAATTATATTAATAACATCTCCGCGTGAGGCCAATCGAATGGTTATTTAATACTCCTCGCGTTAAGTGTGATGGAGATCATTGTATTAATAATTATAACTATAATAATATTATTATTATACTCGGTCGTCTGGCAACTGCCCAAGTGGAAAAAAAAAACTAATTTTCGAGCGACATTCACTTCTTCATCTACTTTGGAGCGGCTTAGCGTATGGCAGTTCGCTGTTCAATCGCCCCTGCAATGATAACACTGTTTTTGAAGTTTTGATACTTACTATTCCGGGTTATTACTTACATTGTCCCGGTCGAGTTTCTTTAAAAATCCGCCGAATTCCGCTTGAACCCATTTTTTTTAGTAAATCTAAAAAAAAAATTAAAACAACTGCAATGAATCACAAATACATATATTTAAAAAAAAAAAAAGCGATCAAATTTTCGGAAAACCTTTTTTATTTTTTACAATAGAATTTCTTAGTCGTTATTGTGCGAAATAATTTAATACAGGTCGATTATTAATTAATTAAATGAAGTGGTGAGAAGTGAGGACCAAAAGGGTCAGTCTGCTAATAAAACATTTTTCATATTTTTTTTTCAAAATCTATTTTGGTTTTACAATGTTTCATCGACTTTTTAACTTCCCCATAAGAATATGACATGACAAAATAATTTATATTTCGTTCTCTTGTAAAATCGTTTAAAAGTCACTTGTAAACTTTTGATTTTTCAACACTTCAAATACAAGTCCGCTGATTGGAATCGCTTTAATCCATACAACTAAGTACGCACGTTTAAGTGGTGCCGACTATAGCCGTTCAACGGCAGCTGTCAACGACAGCAATAGACAACGGCTCCTCCAGTTAAGTGTTGTCGTTATGGATTTTATTAGAACTCTGTTGTCGGTACTAGGTCGTTAGGTTGTACCCCTGGAATCGACACCCGGGTCATGACGACAGTTGTCCAACCAATTGGCGAATTTCACTTGCTGATCAAACTCAATATAAATGTGTTAGTAGGTTCATCAGTGCAATACAAGTGTAAGAGTTATAAAAAAAAAAACAAGTATTTTTAACGCGGGTCAATTTTATTGATTTCGTGGCTCTACCGTGTCTGTGTTAAAAAAACCAAAACCGGTAGCGACGCCGAATATTGCCACAATACTGACATATTTTAATTTTAATTAGTCGACATTGCGATTTGCTGAAGTAACCGAGGTGTCCACACAAGGGTCGTTTTGATAACGCAATTTGATTTTTCATGTCTACCTACATATTATATCTTCTTATCGTTTACAAAAAAACCTGCTTCTTTTATGAGTTCTGACAATTGTTTTCATTACCACAATGGCCGTATGACATTTCTGCTTTTTGTCCATTTGAAAATATAGAGTTACGAATAACGAATCCATATTATATTGTGTTCACGTTGAAAATATTTTGTCTTTTAAAAAAATTCTTAAAAAAAGTCGCCCGCCAAAAGTTCGCACCAGTCGCCATTTGCGTTTAAAATAAAATCAACCTATCTAATCTGATAAATACAAGTGTCGTGTGAAACTGATCATGATAGTCGTTTGGAGAGTCAATTTATTTGTACAGACATTTCATAACTCACGAGTTGCAATGAATATTTTCCTCAATAGTGTGGTACAAAATAATATTACAAGATATGCCAGTATGACAGGGTTGGGAAACTGACAGTTCTTTACATTATTAATGAAAGCGATAAAATCCAAAGTGCACACTAGAACAAACTCTTCAAAATAATGCAAAAATCCACCTTTTTTTAAAGGAACAGTATTTCTTTTGGTTTTTTTTTTTTTTGGCTCTCTGTACATCTATAGTGTTACATCTTAACAATACGCTGAGTATTTAAATACCTTCTTAGCGCCGCGCATTTGACTCTAATCAGGCCCCAGACACCGATAAAAATCACCACGGACAAGATACTTATGGCACAAAAACGGCGGCGGCGGCCATCTTCTTAAATCCACACCACTATAATGTTATATGCGTTATTATTTTTATTTGTGTATATACTATATTAAAACATAATATAATATTAAATATATTTTTAAAAAGGCAGTCACTTTTTTGTTGAAAGTTGAAAGTGACCCTTCTGCTTGTGTATATTCTGCGCTCGAATCGTTTATCCCCGATTAAAATTAACATAACATTGTAGTTATGTACTAAAAACAAAACAAAAAATCTATCTCCCAACCTGGACTATTATTTTTTACCACGCGTCTTACCATGGTACGACTATCATGAAAGTAGTAGTAGTATTTGGACACAGCATCGGCCGGAGACTTTAACAAAATAATATTATGAACTCTGTTGCACCCTAACGGCGGCGGCGGCGGATCACTTCCAGGAACTAACGTCTTCGGAGGCGTCATGGCGCTTCCACTGTGTAACGTGTACTGTGTAGTGCGGTCGCTTCCTACATATGCATGTCCGGCACGTCGCCCGTGTGTATTATTATTTATACGATGCGCCGTTCGAACAACAACAATAAAAAATAAGAAGAAACTATATCGGTACAATGTATCGCCGTAAGAGCTACTGTGTGTGTGTGTGTGTGTGTTGCTGGCCTTGTATAAGATATAGCCAAATATTATTATAGCGTGTGTGTGTGTATATATATATATAACACATAAATAGATATTGTATAATATAAATGTTATTATGTATCGATGAGATGCGACGATGGTGCCGCCGCGCTCCGCATTGATTCGTGATGGCAACGGCATCGGCGGCGGTAGCAGTTCGTTCATCTTGCGTTTCCTAGAAACCGTGTTCTTTTTAACACATTGGAGACTGCTCGTACGTTATAATATGGGTTTAATTAGTGCGAGTAATTCGCCTCGGGGACGAACCGTCGAAGCGCGTTTTCAATCGGCCGGCGTTGTGGACTACACAACAATAGGGGACACGCCGCGGCCACAATGGGTTCGATTTCGATTTACTCCGAACGAACAATTATTATTATTATTATTATTATTGCCGGGCGCGATATTATTATTATTATATTTACATGGACGGGGAACGAGAAAAGAGAAGAAGATCCGCAGATCCGAGAAACGCCGAGTTACCAATCAACTCCGGTGGCTTCTTCTTCTTCCTCGTCATCGCGCTCGTCCCCAGTTTGTACGTACAGCGTATGGTATACAACGTCGTCATATAATAATGTAGAAGAGGTACCCATCGCCGCAACAACGTGGTAGTAATATTATTTTACAATACTGCGAATACACACGTGTGTATGTGCATTGTGAACGAGGGCTACCGATGGATGGATGGCTGGCTGGTTAATATTGAGTTTTGCTTGCAACCAGTGCCGATGACCCTGTCCGTACGTCGAAATCTTTCGTATACACACACACACACACACACACACGTCCTCTTAGTATGGTCTATGATATATTATATTATTGTTGTTTATTATTATCGTTTTGTCGCCCCGGGGACATTTTTGTTACGGTGCAGCCGGAACAGGAGGACGATTTGGCCGCATCTCGCCGCCGACGGGGTTGACGCCGCCGGAAGAATGCGCGATCAGGCCGTTGCCATTATTAGTACAAACAATTCAAGAATAGAACTATCGTCTCAGGTTCGATGGTCGACGAGTGAAATAAAATTAAAATAACGTCCAGAAAAACACTTTGTTCCTACAAACGAGATTGCTAGTTTAGACAAAAAACGTGTTGAGTACATTGTCTTTGGTGAAATATGGAAAGATACCGTTCATTGTCATTCGGTGTTCAAAGTCTACCACCGCCAGACGTTTTTTTATATAATATATGTTTTTGATAGGGTAATTTGTTTCAACCCCTCTCGCTTGATTGAGAGTAGTAGGTATACAAGAAAAACATTTATTCGGGGATGTCTGCGATGGAAAATATTATTCACTACAAAGTTATTGTTTTTAAATAAAAGTTACTGCAGTTGTTGCAGTTTACTGAGAACGCCGACTTGGAAAACTGCTCGAAAATGCCATAGTAAATTAATAGTATGAAACAAATGAAATGTGTACACTTTCGGGTTGCCGTTTGAACTAGGGCGTCGTCGGTGTAATATAGATATTTGTGTTGGATATTAAACAAACGGGTTTACACGGTTAAAGCGGGTTAGCGATTACGATGATTTGTTGTCGAAGGTA